ACGATTAGTTTCGTTTTTTCTTTTATAACAAGAGATTATAATCGTATGAAGTGGACAATATTGCAATTTGTTTTGTCGTTCGACAAGATTTCTCTTTCCCCGTTGTAGGTGTATTTTGTTATAACCTTTAACGAAAGAAGCGAAGAAAAGAAAACGAATATTGTATTTCATTTCAACAAAATAATAAAAATGATACCGAGGAAAAGTTTTAATCATAAGATAACACGATCAATAATATTAATTGAAATTTGTGTCAAGAATTTTACTATCAACAAACTTTTAGAGTTATTTATGATTATTACCCTATGTAATAAATAGATATTATTTATAATGATCTCGTTTCAAGATGATATATAAATGTATTTTTTATATGATATTGTTGACTCTCAAGGTGTGTAGTTTTAAAAGCTCCATTAAGAATCCAATGCATATCAGAAATCGGAGGGACAAAGATTTTTCTGTCTCATCCTGCCTCCCGCGCTCTTACCTTTCGTCCCGTCGTCTCTTATCAAAGATTTTTATCATTTTATTTTTTAAATGATAAATATGTACGCAGTATCACACTATCTATTTTCTTTAGCTGTTTATTTTTAAATAAATGTATTACATAATTTGAAAAAAGTTCAATTCATAGAAAAATAAGCATTCAATAATATTGATCGCGGGACAATTCTGTATAAAGCTTTGTCTCGTCCCGCCGATCTCTGATATACAATGATGAATAATTTATTTATTTTATTAAAATTATGGAATGAGAAACTGAACCGTAGATTCTCTTTTGATATATTATAAAAATGAATTATCTAATAAATGTTTTACATCTTCTTTAATTCGTTGTTGTACGTCTGTTGGCAATACAATTTTATTTAAATCTTCACGTAATCCCGATTCTGTTAGTTCATTAAAAATTTCTTCATCTAAAAATCAACAAATATTTCCTATTATTATAATGATTGATTCTACTTACATTGAAGTGGCATAAATCCTGATAATTCTATACATGCAAAATTACATCGTTCAAACATTGTTCCATCTATGTTTATAAATTTAAAATACTTAATAATACGCTTAAATACTTACTAACAACCGATTGACGAAACCAAATAAAAATACGTAGAGCATCTGTTGATGATGAAAATGATTCTCCTTTTACAATTGCCATATTATGCGCAATATTTTGCAAACTTAAATAATCTGTTATTTTACAGACATATCTAAAAAAATATCAGCATAAGCTTTTTTTGTTAATTTCATTAAATTTTTTTTACCGAGCAATTTTCTCAAATTCATTCAGGTTCCGAATTTCAAATACAAATGCTTGTGTATCATATAAACTTAAAATATAACAATTCGATTTCTCATGAAATAGATTACATGTCTAGAAATCAAACATAAACAATATACATTACAAATAATTTATAAATATTTACTATTGTTTGCAGGTATAATCGTTCAGGAAGATATAAACCATGAAGATGCAACTAAAAGAATTTAACATAATGATTCATACTATTCATGTATACAGCGATGTGCAATTATATTGATATATGATACAGACACTGTAATCTACAAATACAGTAACTACTTAAAATTTCACTCTCTATTCAAGTTTATAACAGACAAAAACCTACTTTCTTAAAATGATTCAACTATTATGAGACTCGCGTGATCAGGTGTTTAGACAATAATTTTGTCTATATGAAACTAGCAATCGGCTTTGTTAGCCTCAACACATCACATGAGTAGTTTCAAACGGTTTCGTAATAATCATTAGTTCAGTGGTATAAGATGATCAATCGATTAACTCATACGCAAGTAATTTCTGAATTATTGGTCATTTTTATATAGAATCCTGCATCGGATCGGATTTTAAAACCCGATAACTCTCATCTTTAGACGTGATAGTTTATTTTGCGTGCCCACACTGTTGGTTCAGTGTGTGTGACTAACACACACATCGAAACAGGTATAGATGATAACGACCGAAGCTCATGCACTTGTTGGTGAATCTGTCGGGTTTCGAAAATCGACCCGATGCAGGATTCTATTTTTATAGAACTACAAAATATTTTTCAAGATTCCCCAAACTCTCCAGTGTCATCATGTGATTACACATGTGTAAAAAAAGCTTCCAGTAGCTATATTGAGCAGTTTAAACTATATTATGCTTATTCTAATAATATTAGGTTAATTTTCTATATGTATTTTATTCTAATCTACTGTACTTACGCGAAGTGATGCCTTAAATTTCGCCAAATGGCGAATATCCTATTGGTGAAGAGACAGTGAGTCTATTTCTGAATGAAATATCTTACGTGATTCATTGATGCATAACCACAGAGTGAATTAAAACCAACTAAAATATATGGATGAGCACTTGAAACAACAAATTGAAGTCCAAATAAAATGCAATCAATAGTAAGAATCTAATAAAGTCAAATCGAGTTTTTTTTCTCATTTTGTTTTAATTACTTGTGGTTGTTCAAGTTCACGATTAGGTACGAGTAATACATGATACGGACGAATAGGTGAATTATTAATTATTATTAAATATTTATCTTTATCTTGTTCATTATCTAAAGAAAAAAGAATCTATAAATTGATAACATTTAATAAATCAAAATCGATTTTTCAAATTCTTACTTCTTCATTTTTGATTTTATTAAAATTAAATTTATTCTTATCAAATGGTGTATTCACATTTTCGAATGGATACGGAGTTCGACGTTTTTCATAACGACTAGGATTTAACTATATCAAAAGAATTAGTTTATATAAATCATCTTGAAAAATAAATCATTTACTTGAATGATATAATTTAAATTACCCTTATCAAGTATTCGATATTTAGCATGATGATCAATTTGAAATGTAAAAAGACCTTGCGTTACAGCACGATCCCACTCACATCGTAATAAAGTATCAAACTAAGAAAAAAGTTTTAATCATTTTATTCCTCTAAAAAGAAAGACAAATGCTCACTTCATTGAACTTTTCATCAGTACGATATGAAAAGTTAGCTGAAGTTGGATCGAACTTGAAATGTTTCCACATGTATAACGAAGGAGTTTCAATTTATAGTTTTTTTTAATTCATTCCTCGCAAAATACTGAACAAAATTTCAATTGGTCAAATAGAAACAAATCATTTCTATTAATAAATATCATTTCATTGGTACAAACAAAAAAGCATCAAACACAATCTATAAAAAAACTTCATTTAACGATATTTATTCCGAAGATGGCTACAGATACAAAGATATCGAATGAAAATACACAAGCACTTGCTGAAACATTAACGTAAATAAAAATTTAATTTTTTTTTTCTGTCTTACATGTCGTTTTTTCAAGTGAATTTGAATTAAATACTGGTGTTATAAGTACAGATAATCAAAATGACGAAACATCAGCAACTGATGTAAGTTTTTAAATTGAATAGAAGAAAAATGAATCTATTTTTTGTCTTGATTTTTATAGAAAATTAAACAACGTCTTGAACGTTTTGGAAAAGTAGCACCTGAAGCAAAAAAAATCTCTCGTGCTTTACGTTTTGGTACAACACATGTATGTTAAATAAGAATATTATTCTTTAGTCTTCTTATTTAATTCAATAGGAAGCAATTAATGGTACAGCTAAAAAACGACGTTTGGAAAGATTTGGGGTTCTTCCTCATTCAGCAGTAAGAGAGAAGAGATTTGAATTAGCATATATATTATTATTTCATATAGGAAGAAGTACAACAAAAGAAACGTCAACGAGCTGAACGTTTTCATGTGAATAATTCTGGATCAACAGAAGATGAAGATGTTAAAAAGAAACGTCTTGATCGTTTTGGTTCGACTACATCATCATCAACAACAACAACTCCTCTTTTATCCGATGCAGTTCAAAAAAGAACTCAACGTTTTGGTGATGTATCTAAAGCAGCAAAATTTAATACAATGAATGTATGAATTAATCATTATTTATTATTCGATTAAAGGTTTTTGTTGAATTTTAGGAACAAAAAAATAAACGTGCTGAACGATTTAAATTAAATACAAATGTTTAATATTGACTCCTTGTGTCTTGAATTTTTTGTTTTGTGTATTACACTTTTTTCTTTCTTTTATAAACACGAAGACACAGTTTTATGTGTAGAAATATACTTGAAATAGAAATGATTGTTTTTATTCAGATAATGACATCCGCTATTCGACCACGTCTTTTAATACTTCATCAAATGCCTTCACAGTTTATTCGTCCACTCGAACGTGTATTTGATCTTGATTATAAAGATACGTCAGTACCTGTAACCCGTGAACAAATTCTATCTCGTATTCGTGCTAATCCACCGGATGCAATGCTTTTTCCAGGAGGAATAAAAATCGATAAAGAAGTTTTATCAACAGCGGGTGATAAACTTAAAATGTTAGCAACATTTTCAGTTGGATATAATCATATTGATCTAAAAGAATGTCAAAAGCGTGGTATATCCATTGGATATACACCCGGTAAACTAAAATAATCAATACATTATAATTGATATATATATATTGAAATCTTTAGGTGTATTAACAAATGGAGTAGCTGATTTAGGTGTTGCATTATTATTAGCAACATCAAGAAGAATTAGTGAAGCTATGAAAAAAGCTCGAGTAAGTTAATAGAAATAAAAAACTTTTATTTGATCTATAATTTAAATAGAATGGTGAATGGGGTAAATCATCAGATATAATGTGGATGTGTGGTAAACCTTTAGCGAATTCAATTATTGGTATTGTTGGCTTAGGTCAAATTGGTTTAGCTATTGCACGTCGTTTACAAGCATTTTCTATTCAACAAATTCTCTATAGTGGCACACGTGAAAAACAATTTGATTCTGAAGATGATAAAAAATTATTTAAATTTGTTCAATTCGAAAAATTATTAAATCAATCTGATTTTGTTATTATTGCCTGTGCATTGAATGAAAAAACAGAAAATATGTTTAATAAACAAGCTTTTGAACAAATGAAAAATGATGCTATTTTAATTAATATTGCACGAGGTGGAATTGTTGATCAAGAAGCATTGTATGATGCATTAAAAAATGGTCAAATTCAAGCAGCAGGTAAAGAAATATTCTAATAATAATAACGTAAAAATTCTGATTCTATATAGGTTTGGATGTTACTACTCCTGAACCACTGCCACTTGATCATCCACTTTTGACACTTGAAAATTGTACTATATTTCCACATATTGGAAGTGCTGATGAATCTGCACGTCATCAAATGGCACAAGTATGTGTTGATAATTTACTCAATTTTTTTAGTGGCAAACCAATGGTTCATCAACTTAAAATAGACAATCTTTAGTAATCTTTATAAAATTTTGCTTCCATATATTTTTAATCAATGATTTATTATAATTTAGTACAAGTGGAGCTAGATATTTTGTTTTTCTTTTTTGATTTTATAAAATAAAACATTAACGATTAGTTTTGATATATTAAATAAACATTATTTTTAATTCGTATTATATTCACATTTAATAGAATATATTGTTACATAGTTATATTTTTCTTTCTTTCTTTCTGTGTCATACATATCTTGCTTGTCTTTCGTACATCAGGTACTTATGTTCCTGTGTGACCTTTCTGCACCTCGATCCATTGTCCATCTTTCTTCACAAGCTTAATAAAGAGAAGAAACTTCTCGACGCGTTCTTCTCTTTAGTCATTCCATCTAAATATACTCGTGTTTTTTCTGAATAAAATCACTGATTTTCTTCATCTCTTCACATTATTTAACTTATATATATATATTCTAAAATGAATGGTGATGATTGTAAAGCATTAATACAAGAATATTGAATTCAAGAAAATTGATAAATTAATAGATAATTACAAAGATCTTACAGTTTCGCTTAATCGTTCAAAATCCGACAGAAAAAAGCTACAGATTTCAACAACTGAAATTTGAAGTATTAATGAAATCGTTCCGTGTAACTAAGAAAACAGTATCATTATCGATTTCATTGGTTACAATGTTCTAAACTTATTCGAAAAACTATTCTAATTTCAGTTCGTTTTACGAATTACCATATTCGCAGTGTTGGTCTTCCAATAAATGTGGTAAGTTACATAAATGCGAGCACAAAATCGATTCCGAAGTTTAAATTCAATCAAACTTTCAAAATGATTTCTTCTATCATGATCTCTCATAGTTAAGTCAACTCATTATCTATATACATGTATCTCAAGATACTAATCTGTATATTGAGAATAGTATTTAGACGAATAATTTATATTCAACATATTATCTTTTTTCTCTAATTAATAAAAGGAAATAAAAAAAATAAGAATTATAATTTATTTTCACAAGTAATTGGTTTATTACAGATATAAAAATAAGTTTTTATTTAAGCCAAGTAGTATCATATACAGTTCCTCGACGACCACCTCGTCCTTCTGATCTTTGTTTGTCTTCAAAACGTTCCATTAAATCTTCCATATCAAATCCTGCACCATCATCTAGTTCAATATGCCGTAATTTACTTAAACGATGATCATTTTTATGTGTAATTCTCTAGATAAAAAATACAAAAAAATATATAGCTTTTGTTTTTCTTTTACTTACATTTAATTCTTTATCCATCATATCGAGTGGATAATCGCCATCATAATAACCTGGTAGACTATTCTGATATCGTCGGCGTCCAGCTATACTTTCTATATTTATACCAAATAAATCATCAGCAACTCCAGGACGTTTTGGTAGTGTAAGAAATTCTGCACTAGTAATTCGTTTACCTTCAGCAATACCACGCATCATAACTGAATCATCACGTACATAACTTGGATTGAATTCATCACCATCAGTTGTTTTTAAAATATTAAGTAATATATCATGTGTTAATGGTGCATCTCGATAATGAATACGTGCAACTTCGAGTAAATCATCTGAACTTTCTCTTCGTAGTAAATAAAATGGTTGTGGTGGTGGTAGATAAGGACCTGAAGAAAAATCTACTTGAGGACGACGACGAGGAGTTGTAGTAGTTGTAGGTTCTTCGTTAATAGCATCTCTGAGACGATCTTCTTTCTCTTTTAATTGTCTTTTTAATTGTTCAAGACGTCGAAGGACTTCAGATTCTGATACTTCACGTGAAATAGGCGATTTTGTACGGACAACTTTGGTATCTATTCAAATATAAATAGTTTTAAATTGTTGTTGTTAGTAATTATATATAAAAAAAGAAGATATACAGTTTATTAATCTTTAAAAATTGGCACCTCTGTAAAATATGAAAATGCCAAATTTTAAATTTAGTTGTATATATTGTAATGCATCCTCTACGACTTCAAACTATACTTTGATTATATGCATAATTATTCGTTAGGTATATGGAAATAATCAATATTATTATTATTATTAAATATTACTTCTTCGTCGCTCTTCTTCTTCTCGTCTACGCCGTTCTTCTTCTTCTCGTCTTCGCCGTTCTTCTTCTTCTCGTCTTCGCCGTTCTTCTTCACTTTCTCTTCGTCGTCGTTCTTCTTCTTCTTCTCGTCTTCGCCGTTCTTCTTCTTCTCTACGTCGTTGTTCTTCTTCATCTTCTTCTCTTCGTCGTCGTTCTAATTCTTCTCTTCGACGTCGTTCTTCTTCCTCTTCTTCTTTTCGTCGTTGTCGTTCTTCTTCTAGTAATCGTTTTCGTCGCTCTTCTTCATCTTCTTTTCGTTTTAATCGTTCTAAATCCTCGAGTCTTCGTAGTCGTTCGGCTTCTTCTCGACGTTTTTGTCGTTCAGCTTCTTCAATTTGTCGTAATCGTTCCGCTTCTGCTTTACGTTTTAAACGTTCAGCTTCATCTTCTTGTCGTTGTCGTGCTAATTCTTCTAATCTTCGTCGTCGTTCTTCTTCCTCCTCTTTTCGTTGTCGTTCTAATTCTTCTTCTCTTCGTTTTCGTTCCGCTTCTTCAGCTAATAATTGTTGTGCTCGACGTTCTGCTTCTTCTCTTTCTTGTTTTCGTAATGCTTCTTCAGCCGCTTGTCTTTCTAATTCTCGTTGATACGCTAATTGTTTAGCACGTTCACGTTCTTCAGCAGCTCGACGTCGAGCTAACTCTTCAGCATCTCGTAGACGTTTTTCTTCTATTTGCTTTAATAAATCTTGTCTGTATCTTTCTTGCTTCATAACTTGTTCTTCAGTTTTATAATTACCGAATATATGATTATAAAGTGAACCACGAGCAAATTGTGGTGTAGAAGGACGACCCTAAAAATATTTACTCAAAAATCAAACAACTCAAAATTACCAATGATACCAATTGGAAAATATGATTACCTGAATTGGGTTTGTTCGAGGTGATTTAAATGGTTGTGGTTCTGGTGGCATTTTTGTTTGTGTAATCGTCTGTTCAGTACTTCTAGCAGTTTGTTGACCTAGTTGCAAAGTATCAGGAGGGCGTGGAGTAGCTTGTGCAATTGGTATAGGTGTACTACTAGGTACACCAGTTACAATAACACTTCTTGAAGTTAAAGGAACAGGTGGACGATTAAGAATTTCAGCAAGTTCATAATCAATTGCTACTCTTTGATTTAATCGTTCTGCAAGTAATGCATTTAATGCATTTAAATCTTCAGTATATCGTGCACGAGTAGTATTTGTTGAATTAGTAATTGTTAATTTACGGCTTTCTATAAAATGTATAATATAAGTCATAGATTATTAGATAAAAATACAAAATATACCAGTTTCTAGTTGTCTTATTCGTCCTTCTAATTCATATATCTGTTCATATAATTCTAAAATATATTCTTCACGATCACGAATATATTTTTCACTTTCTTGTTGTACTAGACGAGCTCGTGCTCGACTTGCTGCTAATTCTTCTGCTGAAGTTGATGACATATCATTCATACTATGAATATTATGTAGTGTTCTTCCCGATGAGGTACCATTGTTCATACTTTGACTATGACGTAAACCTCTATTTGACGATACATCATTCATACTATGAGAATTATGAAATGATCTGCTAGTATGTTGTTCGTTTGATCCTCTACCAGTTATTGGATCACGTGAAAATTGTACGCGTCGAGTTGTACTTCCTTGTGACATACCACCGATCTGTGATGGAGCAATCATTTCTGATGTTCGTTTTTTTGTCATATTTTGTAAAGATTGTAAATATTCATTATATTCACGTTTTAAATCATCGTTTAGACGTGAACGTACTTCATCATGAGTACCAAATCTATCAAAAAAAGAAAAGTAACTTTTAGTTGTATTATCATTTGAAAATTGTTGGCCTTGGTGTTGATCCATACGTGAACTGCTAGGAAATGGAGGTGATGAAGAAAGATAATTAGATTGTTGAGATTGAAGACGAGGTGATTGTTCTTGTGAAAACTGCATATCTTGGACGATTGATTGATCGCTTAAATGATTGAGTGGAAGAGGCTCAACCGGAGGCGGTGTTTGTGCTTGTACTTGTGGTGCTTTTCGTCGATTATTTTGTTTATTAATTTTAGATCTTTGTCGTTCAATAAAATAATCAATATCCTGTGCGGCAGTGGTCATTACGTTGTTGTTTTGTTATGTGTGCATAACCGATTTCGGGTTAATGATTTCGATAAACAATGCAGAATCGAAAAATTTTTCAATTCTGTTGTTTTGCCACTTACTGATTGTGACAGAAAAGTGTGCAGTTTTGATCTCTTCAAATTCAATTGCATTACCGTGGATACCAAAAGAAAAGCAATCAGAAAAGAACGTAGGAAAGTAAATGGTTATTATCGCACTCTATAGGAAAGCCGTACATAAACATCATAATATTGATGTAAAATACTGTTTGAGTTTTTATATTCGGTTCAAAAGAGTAAATAACATATAATAGATTATATTTTTATAAATTTCTCCTATGTTATCTAACCAATTGAAATCTTTTATCTAATGAATAGGTAAGATTTGGAATTCTCTACAATTCATACACGGATTATTTCGCTACACGTATATCTTAAGTGTCATTTGTATTGTATTCTTAATTACTCCTATAGTTGAAACAAGAACAATATTAAAAAAAAGTTGAAGTTTTTTTTTTCTATATATTTGAGCATAAATTTATGAAAGGGAGTAAAACGAAATCAGTCAAAGAACTAGTACACTAATGAATTTAATAATGAACAATAAAAGAGTGACACAGTCACATATATATCTGCAAGGATGTTGGAAAAACCCAACCGCATGGCCACTGCAAATATTCGAGAACTCTTTATCTGCGCATACATCAAATAAACTTATCTTATTTCTAAAGCGAAAGAGAAAAAAACTTCCGTAGAATCAATTGATGATTATCAGTATAAAATAATTTGATTCTAACTCGAATTAAATCAAGAGAAATCTCTGATAAAACGGAAATCTACATGTTCTAAAATCATTGTGGGATCACTTGCAGTCAAAGGATTAGTTTGAAACAATTCAAATTAGTGAGCTATCCTTTTCATTGAAAAGCATTTAATTCATTCTATTCGGTTGAATATTTATATTTAATATTCCAACATACTTTATCTAATAGTAAGTTATCTTAACATACTTTTATTATGGTTAAAGAATGCATTGTTGTTTGAATGTCAACAATCGAGATAATATATACGCATGTAGTCTATGATTCAGTAAAAAGAAATGCAGTTGACATCTATATAACGTCGTTGAATAATTCAATTTTTTGTATTTTTTTTACAAATGTGTCATTATTGTCATATTTTAAAACATAATCCTACAGCTCCGCCTCATCCAGGTGTTCGTTGTCTTGATCGTGCAAATATTTATTCACAAGTTCCTCTAGCTGAACGAATATACGATAACGGACAATCAATTTTTCCTATTCCATCTGCTCCTCCAGCTGAAGGTAAACTTTTCAATTTTTTTGTTAAAAAAATTTAATCAAACGAATTTTTTGTATATATTTTGTTTTTAGAAGAATTTAAAAATAGACCAAAATCAAAACAAAAAAAAATAATTAATCGATTTATGAAATTATTTACTAAATAATGTTCTTTTGTTTTCTTACACTATATCATTATTAATAAAATTCACATATCAATAAAAGCAAAAAAAAGAAATTTTATCAGAATCATTTAAATATATGTCGCTATTCACTTTTACTGATGAAAGAATTTCGGAGAAAAACTATTCTATTACCACTCACTTGTTACAGATAGTATTTTGACTAATCTTAATTATCTGTTCTTAAACTCTCTTAGAATGTTTTATAATAAATTCATCTTTACCGTTACAGTAATCTTAGTAAAGAATATTATACTCTTGATTCAAAATTCACAAGTGTGTGAAGTGATACCTTTTATGAATATTAAAATCAATATTGATCAAATATTGTTTGCCATGCTCTCTTGTCTTCTCTAAGCCTCTCTATAACAGAAGCTCACTTAAGTTAAAATACATACATATAGAGAAACGAAGAAGTCAAGTCATATCGTGAACGAGACTCAATTTTTCTTTTTAATTAAAACGTCCCTTTCAGGAAAAGTTAGTTTTAACCTAATTTCTCGTTTTTGTGATTAATAGCTTGTCAAATAACATACACCATTAAGTTTCACTATTTAACAGAGCCAGATATTTTGATTTTCCTTTGAACGTAAACCCAGTGGTTTATCTAGCGGGGGAGCACGGGGCTTTTTGCCCTCTCGGAGGGTGCCCTTGTCCCCCGCAATTTAGAAAAATTACGCTTTTTGAGTTTGAAACTCTACGTTTGCCCTCCCCCCACCCAGAAGAGAGATTTTTGCCCTCCCGGCAGTTAATTTCGCACCCTCGGACGAAAAAAGCTAGATAAAACACTGCGTGAACCAAAAATTGATCATATTCAACTTTCATCTCTTGATTCTTTGTATCTTATCGAAGACATTTTCCAAAGACAAAGTAGAAAAAATTAAGAAATTGGACTTTATTAAGCTGTAGGGTCAGAATATGCCCACATCTTAAAGTCAAACCGAACTTTCTAGCATTTGAAATAGTACAGATTTTACTGTAAAGTGGCTAATCTAAGATACGTATCTCCTCTAAAAATAAGTCTTAAATTGAACATTGAACAATTAAAATCAACTATGATTATCGTTCTCTTACAATATTTAAATCTCTTTAGTATACAATACCATATTAATGAAAACTTAGGTTTTGTATATCGAATATCACTTTATTATATTCATATTTATTTCAGTCCGTCATTTGTGGTTTTTACTCATTGAATTTGAAATGTTTCCAGATTTTATAAAGTGGATGAATAAAGGTATTCATCGGAATTGACACTTATTCCCATATATCTAATATGAAATTTGAGTATATAAATTTCTCTATCTTGTGGTTGAAATAATAGCACTGATATTAATTCTAATAGGACAGTAATTTGAGTCATTGCAAATGTTTAGTGTCCAATAAATGATAAAGATTTTGTTGTTATTTTAAAACAGAATATTTTTCGGAACGAAATTTAAAATGAATAACTAAAAGCATACATATATGATCATCTTTGTTAAGAAATGTATTCTATAGATAGAAATAGTAGAAAGGATTATTTTACAATGTAAAAGTATTTTGATGATTCTTTAATTAATTGTTGAAATTACTTATAATTAAATCTAATCAATAGATGGCGTTAATGTTTATATAAATAATTTATCAATAATATGAGAATCAATTGATTTTTCTTATGATTATTTTAATAATAAAATCTCTATATAGAGGATAATTCGTGTAATTCTAATCGTTTAAAGATACCCATTGGTCACACCTCCATTTTTACTTTGTTTATTTTATAATATATATATATCTTTCATCATTTAACTTTTTTTTTGTGCCAACAGTGAATTATATTTTCAATTATTTATTCCACATAAAGTAAGTAAATTTCTATAAAACGAAAAAATATTTTATAGATGAAACTATTTAAAACAATAACAATGAAAAATATTTCTATCTTTTTATTATTTTTTTTTCATTAATATTAACTTTTTGTAATAATCATTTATTTCGTATATAAATTTAAGTTATCTTTTAATAATTTGAGACATCTATAATATTTTTATTTCATTCTTCAAAACATAAAAAAACAAAGAGAATATAACTATGATAAAAAAAACAGGTTGTTTTGATAAAGAAATGTTTATTCGAAAAGAACAAAGGAAAAATATTTTATTTCTTTATTGAAATTAAATTATTATTTTTCTTTTATATGCAGTAGTATTTAGAAAAATAGTATTGAAATTCTTTTTATGTAGGAGAATATGTACCTGACCTAACGATGCATCCAACCAAATCATCATTTATAGGCGCGAAAAACATAGTATACATTTAACATTTTTATAATGAGTAATATAAACATTAGCATAATTAGAAAAACTTTATTCTCAAGTAGAAAGTACGTGTTACCTTTCTTCAAAACAAAAGTCATAGAGTTATGACTAATATTTTATTTTTAACTTTCGTAAAATTATGAATACTATATATGATGTACTTTTAGATCAAGTTATAAAAAATTTAATGAATATCTCATTTAATATCCTGTTATGAGTATTAGCTTCTAATTAATCGCCTTTGGGGCAATTGATATATATATATAACTATTTTATTTAGTTTTTTTGCTCTGAATAGAATACTCTTACAGTTCATAAAACTTAGATATTATTTAAGGTCGTTTTATTTATGTGTTACTGTATATTTATAATTGACCATTGATGATGTAGTAAAAGGTTTGAGACAATCAATATAATTATTGATTATACACTCCATCTTTTTCTATTAATATGCCGCTGATCTTGAACCATATGATCGTGCAGGCATGTGTAAAAAAGAGATGTTATATTAAAATGCGACTTTATGCGGAAGGTACTAGCCGAAAAGATTAATCGTTAGTGACTTTGAAAAGCCGCGATAGAATAAATTCCAATAATTATATTGTTTTGTCATAAACTGAAAACAAAATCGAAATATTCTGAGGTCAATTTATTCATGTATATATATAGTCATATTAAAAAAAATGCTATATTTTTTGAAATACATATTATTTTTCCTATTTAGACTTTTGATAATGATTCTTATTAATTAATATAATTACTAATGGCATCATCGGGTGAGCAGTCTTCTTTTTTTCTTTTGTTTTTTATGGCTCGACTAATATTCGTGATATTAATAGCAAGCGATTTGTTTTTGTATTATCATATCACGTTGACCAAACCTATTATGAAGGTCGTGATGTGTAAAATCCTCTTTTTTTCTGTCATTTTTTGACAGTTTTGTCTATCACTTGAGACATGAAATAATATATATATATATATATATATATATAAATACGTATATTGGCTTCCTACTTGTGGAAAAAAAAGGAAAGAATGTAGTATAATAGTGATGTCGCCGTAAATAATATACATAAATGAGAGAAGATATTTTTAGGCTTTTATAGACGAAGACAGTGTCGATGGATGCCTAAAAAAAAGAAAAAGAGAAAAAAAAGAAAGCCCAATGAAAACTGTATGATGAAAGCGAATAAAAGAAAGAACAAACGATAATAATGGCAAACATTATACATCTTGATGATTTCTTCTTCTTTTTTTCTTCATTTAAATAAATCGACAAACAAACGTGTCTTTGTTCAATAAATCACGCATTTAGCGCATGTCAGATATTAAAAAAATCTTTTGCTATATGCTGCTTTCTAAACAGCTAGTATATTCTTCGTTAGTTTGTCTTATCTTTTTTTCGTTCTTTTCTTTCTTTTACTGACTGTTTGTTTCAACATATTCACTCAATCAGAAAGACATACCAGTATGTATCACGCATTATGTGCATGATCTAGTAATGGCATTGAATAATCATAATAAAAATAATCATATACATATTTTTAACATATTTATTTTTGTCTTTTTTTTTTGTTTTGTTTAGTGCAACGTGCTATAATCACGAGTGAATTTGGTGAAACAGTAACAATTATTAAACGTGAAAGTAATGACGATTGTCTTGGTGTTGATGATGGTGTTGAAAGAATTTCAACGACAATGGCTCTAGGTAATAATTCAACAACTAATAATACATTTGGAAATAATAATGAACTACTAGATTGTGTTGTTTGTGGTGATCGAGCTACTGGTAAATAGGAAATTATTTAGTTTATTGAGAATGATTTTTTTTCTTCTTCTATTATAAAGGTAAACACTATGGAGCTATATCCTGTGATGGTTGTAAAGGATTCTTTCGACGGAGTGTTCGCAAAAATCCAGTTTATGAATGTCGACATCAAAATAATTGTACAATTGACAAAGATAAACGCAATCAATGTCGTCATTGTCGATGGAAGTATGTTTCTAATATCTAAATATTCTTGTTAAAAAATCTATTCATATTTCTATAGAAAATGTATTAGAATGGGCATGAAAAAAGATGGTATGAAATTTAATTGTAAATATAATCTATTTTATTTTTAATTTTTTCAATTCTTAAAGCTGTACAAAAAGAAAGAGATCGTCTTGGAAGACAACGCTCGAATAATCATACTTATAGAATGACAGCAATAAAATCTATTGGACGTATTGATCATGATTTTGATGAAGATGATGATGATCTTAGTATTATGGCACTTTTAAGAGCTGAACAAACAGCTAAAGAAGTATGAAAATATATCAAAGAATTTATTTAGTTTTTTCTTAAAAATATTTAATAAAATTCTTATTTTTAGTATATCGGTCGACAAATTAAACTTGATAGACATCCATCAAATACAGAACGTGTTCAAGCTACTTTAGAAACAATTGGTATATCAATGAATTATCAACTTCGTAGTTTTATTGAATGGGCAAAAGATTTAAAAGGTTTCATTGATTTATCTGATAATGATAAAGTAAGACGAAAGAGGAGAAGAAGAAAAAAACATCACATTTTTTTTAAAAATATTATTTATTTAGATCGCTCTTTTACGTGGTCATACTGGTGAAAATCTTGTTCTAGGTGTTGCTTGTCGTTCATTAAATTGTGATGATTATTTACTTCTCGGTAATCATTATGTTATACCACGAATAACAGCTGATCCTGGCTTAACACGTGCAGCTGGTAGAATTCTTGATGAAATTGTTAAACCATTGAAAGAAATGCAATTAGATGAAAAAGAATATGCGTGCTTAAAAGCAATTGTATTCTTTGATAATGGTTTGTATTTTTATATGAAGATAAACTCCTTATTATCTTATTCTTTTCTTCTGTTTTATTCATCTTAGATAATAAATCTTTATCAGATCCAATGCGTGTAAAAGAATTACGTAAACGTATACAAGTTAATCTCGAAACTTATATAAATCAACAAAAACCATTAATGCGTGGACGTTTTGGAGAATTATTATTATTATTACCACCTTTACAAAATATAGCTCGTTTAATGGTTGATCTTGTTGCACGTTATAATCAAGATACGAAACAAGTCGATGATCTTATTAACGAAATGCTTTTAAGTAAGTTTAACAAGGAATTTATTCGATATTCTCAACAATAATAACAAAAAGAATACGATATTAAAAATCTATATATATACATATATCACAGAGAGAATGAAACAACAAATGTAGTTCTATAAGTTCAGATAGATATCGTGACGATTGTCAAGATTCGATGATATCCACTACAACTAATACAATACATATGATTACTACTAATACATCATCGCCAAGTAATTCAAGTAAGAATGACTATATATATATATTCATTACAATAAATAACACACACATATACTAACATAAATAAAATCTGTAATGGGTTTTTTTATTAATATACATTGCACGCTGTAACTATTGTTTTTCCTTTGCATGCTTATGTGTCTGTCGAACGAAAAAAAATAAATAAATAAACGAAATCGTATTGTTATTGTTAACATATGATCATCAGCATTCTAAGAATATTTCACGTTCTCATGTTTTATTATTTATATAATATATTTGAAAATATATATATTTTTAGTTTCCAAAGAAAACGATCTTGATTCCAATGGTTCTTCACTTGATACCGATATGGAAGATAATACATCACAGTCTCAAGATAGTAATCAATATCCGGATCCTTCTTTAGCTACACCTGTACCAAATTCCGTTATGATTCTTTCACGAACAGTTAATCATGATATTCACAATGTTTCACTTACTGAACATGATGATTATTTATCAAATGATCTATCCCATATTCACCTTCTTCATTCAAATTCTATAGCTGATCCGAATTTAAATCATCATAATGCAACATCAGTTGCACATACAATAACTAATGATCTACATGATTATCATCACGGACAAATTCTACAATATTTTAACGATACATCAAATGATCGATTAAGATTTATAAAACGTTCAAAAGCAATAATGACACCTTCATCAACAACAAATATACCAACAAATGATCCCAATGGTGATATTAGCTTCTTATGTGATCTCAATACACCACCAACAGTTAATCGACAATCAAATCATACGAATAACTATTATGATACTGATTGGCATGGACGAATATTATTACCGACTACAATAACATCCCATGTAGTTGATAATGTTAAACAGGAATATGAACAACATAATATTCTACGATGAGATCATATATACATATGTACATCTCTGTTTAAATGTACAAAAAAGAATCTTCCTCATTTTTTCTTTTCCTTCCGGTCGTTTTCTTTATCTTTTTTTTTCTTTTTTTCTCAACTTTATTTATGTGTTTGTCTTTCGATTATATCATCATTGTTAGAGAAGCAATAAGACATTTCTTTCGTTTTTTTTTACAGTTACACATTGTTTGTGTTTTTTTTTCTTTTTTTTCTTGTCAACATTATTATTATTATTATTATTATCATCTTTTTTTTTCGTATGCGCATATGTGCGTATTTTTAGGCAGATGTATTAGAGTGTATAAGTGAGAGTGCTGTATTTTTTATTTGTGTGTGTGAGTGCGTGTGTGTGTGTGTGTGTAAAGACGATTTTGATTTTGATGCCATGGATACCTGCTTTATGAGTATATATGATGGGAAAAAAAAGAGATAGAATTGATGAAGATGAAACAATTCACTAATAACATTTGATTTATTTGTATATGAAAACTATTATAAGATTTAAAAGATAATGAATTATGAAAGAACATTTATGCAAAGAACAAAAATATTTAACTTTTATTTGATTATCTGTGTGTAATGATATAGTACGTATGAAAAAGAGAACAAACTTGAATAATGATTCAGTTCGCTGTGAAATAAGACATCTGATCTAATGATCCCAAACAAGAGAAAGATAAAAGAAAAAGAACTGGTAAGATATACTGAATGAGTTAACAAAACAATCTATAGAATAATTTCACGCCCACCGTAAGTATTGATCACATCATCATCATCATCGGATATATATTCTGATTGATTCATTATATACACGAACAAGCACACATAAACGAAAGCAAAACAATAGTTGTATTTCTGTCCTTCAATAAGCGACATATTTTTTCTCTTTCGACGACTTTTTTTCTCTTGTGTTCATATATATATATACGTTCTTCACTTTTCTCTTTCTTTCAATTTTACTTTCCTGTCACTAGTGCTCGTTTACACGAGTACATTCGTCGTTGACCCTTTCCGCTTTTCTATATTTTTTCTCTCCTTCTCCTTCTCCGTCTTCTTTTTCTGTTCAGTTACAATTCGTTGATCATCTTTTAACAGAACATGGCTTATATCAAGGTCATAGTAGGTGCGTTCTATTCATTTGACATCTTTGTCCGTTTTTTTATTTCATAATATTTTTATTTAGGATTATTTTTTACAAACATTATCTCTCTTTGTTATGGTCAATTTTTAACACCTGATCAATTACGTGAACAACATGATCTTGGTTATGGAGCTCGAACACATTATGAAATGTCCGGTAGTCGACGAACAGATATGTTCAATCGTGTTAATCCTGATTACTTACTTCAAGGTTGTAGTTAATTTCAAAAAAAAACAGTATTCATATAATTTCGTTTTAATTATTAGGTTTCTTTCCATTTTGGTCATTGGTACTCATTGGTTTTGCACTTATCTTTTTGACATTCGCTGTTTGTGGACTTATTGGTTATTTATTAGGATGTCGTCGGCCGACACTAGAAGAACTTTATGCAAATGAATTTGATCAATTAACCCCAGACGATGAATTTTTATTAGGTGCAGGAGGAATAACAAATTTAAATGACACAAAACTATCAATAGCAAATTCATCGCATGGTTATTTTGATAATAATCATAAAGATTTTCGTTATGAAACATTACCACCTATTGAACGCACACGTGTCGGACAAAGTTATGAACATATGGTGTAACTATTATTCTACTAGAAATGTTTATTTCATTGTTCATTTTATTATTAATTATAATCGTATAGTAAAAAAAGACATAGTTATTCAATATTTGAAAACTATGTTGATATAAAAATTCGAATGAATTCAAAGATAGAAACATATTCATTTAACAAGCATAATAAATTCTATTTATTTTGCATTATAATAAAACAAAATATGATAAGAATATTAATGAAAAAAATAACCCTTTTTCGGATATATTAAGTTACTTAACTGACAATCGAATTATCGAACAAGTAATGCATTTGTTTTATGATCTGCATATTCAAAACAATGTTGTTAAAGGGTTGAATGACACAATTAATAAGAAATCGATAAATAATATAACTTAATCTATTTAACACAATAAGTTTAGTGAGGTTCAATAAAAGATAATTTTTATATAGGAAAAAAATTTTCAAATTATGAATAAAATCAGTAAATTTCTTCTTTTTATTAACAAAATCATTTTATCTACTAGTGAAATCTTTCGTTTATTATTTTGATAGATGTTTACTATTGGTTCGTATCAGATGAATCACATCAATTTAAACAGTACTTACTGACTTTTCATTTATACTGGTTGCTCGGTTTCTTTGATAAGACTTTTTCATGAAATATATTCATTGTAACTACAAATTTCATATTCAAATCCGTCTATGATCTGTAGGAAGCAAACTGAAGCTAAGCAATAAGGTAAAAAATAATTAATTCAAATTCAACTTGATACAAGAACTCCAATTATCGGTACATATGATCTGAATTATAAAAGATCTTTTTATTCTCTTTTTCGTAGAGAAGAGTCTAGCAAACATAAGCTGTCTGTCTGCAGGGTCAAAAAAACATCGAAAACCTATTTTTCACGGCTTTTAATTGTTTTTTCAGTAAATGTGGGGAGGATGCATTTCTACGAGAAAGAGCTAGGCGAGTCCTCGAACGAGCGTTACTTGTGTATATTATTTTGCAGCACAACCAACATTAACTCCGTATTGAGTATTTCGATGATCTAGGTATTCGAACCCATTAATGTCATTTTGAATTGACTATTAAATAAGATATATCTGGGTTAATGACTGGAGAATTTGAAGACGAATTAAATAAAGGAATATTATATATAGCTTATAACTGTCATTATGAATATTTCTTGAACTATATAATAAACTTGCTGTGATACTTTGTAATTGAACTACAGAAATTTTATAACGGATTGATTATTCACTTTTTTTTTAATTCAGATAAATTTTCAAAGATGACAAATAATAATCAGAATGACGATAATGATAATGGAGAATCACTGAATATTGTTAATGTTCACGATCCATTCTTTTTATGGGGTTTACTTGAACATTCTGATCGTTCATTAATTCGAGCCTATGAAACACTTCCAGATGATGATCGAAGTCGTTTATATTGGTCATGTCATTATCATAAACGTGTAAATGTATGTGAATATGTATTAAATAATTGTGAATTAGTTCGAACAGCTCATAATGCAATTAAAAAATTATCTGAACTAGCAAAAGCACATAAAACTAAAACACCTGACTTAACAGAGATACCTGTACCATTTATGTTACCAACATCACCAGATTTTATTGTTAATGAACTTTGTGATGGTTCATTTATAACATCAAAAGGAAAACCAATGAAATTTACTGTTATCGATCAATGTGGCAAAAGAAAAACGTATGAAGTTATTTGATTTATAAAAATTGATTGATCATTAAAATTTTTAGATGTATTTATAAACATGGTGATGAACTATTACAAGATGCTCTATGTCTTGCTGCAATGAAAGAAATGAATACGATATTTAAAGAAGAATATATTAACGTCGAAATTGTTACTTATGAAGTAAAAACAATAGATTAGTTAATAATAGATTGGGTGTATATGTGTTTTTTTTTAATTTTAGGTTCTTCCAGTTGATGAAACAGAAGGTCTTATTGAATGTGTTGAAAATGTACATCCATTTCTTGAATTTAAAAATACTGACGACGACAAAAATTCAAAATCTTCAGATGCATTAAAAAAATTTATTGAACAATCATCAGATAGAAAAATAAATTTATATCGAACATTTCTTGGTTTCGTCATTTCCGGAATTGTTTTAAAACTAGCGGATCGGCATGGTATAAGTTATTTTCTTTTTTTGAAGTAAAACGAACGAAATGTAAACGTAACAATCGAGAAAATATCTTTCTTACATATTAGATTAAAGTTTCTTTTGACTGTGAGACTTTTCGATGACTAGCATTTTCGCCAGTGTCATTATGTGATTACATATGTATAAAAATAGCTCCTGGTAACTATATTGAGGGGGTTTAGACTATAACATGCTTATTCTGATAATACTAAGTTAATTTCTCACACGCAATTTACACTAATCTTGTGTTATTATAGTTGGCGAAAATCCGCTGGACTTATACGAAATCGCGCTTGAATTTTCCCTCATGGCGAATATTCTATTGACGAAGTGGCAGTAAGCCAATCAATACTACTAGATAAAAATCTAGTACAATTAACGAATATATTCTGTTTAGCTCTACACGACTGAAAGATTTAGCCCACGTGTATCATATTTCGTTTAGAAATCGAACTATGACATAGCACAGTATCTGCATTCGGAAACGTTTTTCTCGATGTTATAAGCCATAACAGTTCCATCTCTAGTTGAAAAAAACGTAGAATATTTTCATATTATTTGAAATTCTTCAATTTAAATCTAAGTAATACAAAATATGTTATATTTTACTTTTCATAGATGATAATATTATGATAACTGACGATG